ATTCAGTCTCATATGGTTTACAATTCCTGGTTTCAGTATGTTTCTGGAGAAGTGAAAATCTTGAGTCAAACTAATCAACTGCTTTTTAACATGTACATTCCCATTTGACATAATGAACACTTTAAAAACAAAAATCCAAAGGTTACATGTGCTATGATTCCATTTATGTAACACTCTTGAAATGGACAAGAGAATCATAATAGAAGACAAATCAGTGGTTGCCAAGGGTTAGAGTTTGAAGCAGGTGTTACATAAAAGGTTGGTATTTTCTTTGTGGTGGTGGAGCAGTTCTATATTCTGACAGTGGTGATTACATCAACCTACACATGATAAATTTTCTTAGACTATACACACATATACACAAACTGGTGAAATTCAAACAAAGACTGTAGTTTAGTAAATACTGCTGTGCTATTGTCAATTTTTTGGTTTTGATAACGTACTATGATTATATAAGACTTCATTGGGGAAAACTAGGTGAAGGGTCCATGGAAACTCTATTTAACTGTTTTTGCAACTTCTTATACTTAAATTATATCAAAATAAAGGGCCCATAAAAAGCCTATCTTTTGGGGTAATTGTTTGTTCACAATACAAGAAATTAAACTAATTATAAGTTTTGCAACATTCTTCAAAAATTTTAAATTGAAATAAAAAATTGAATAGACCGAGATTTTTGTAATAAAGAACATATTCCATGAGACAAAAGTACTCATTAAATTAGACAACCTTCTTTGTACATGATGCTTTAAGATAGATATATCTATTTTAGGGGGACTAATTATCCACTGAAACCATCACAAAAATCATATTGGGTTGTTCCAGTTTTGGAACAGAGCAGGTTCAATCAGGGGGTTGGGGAGCTCCTCCCTGTCATGCACACAGCAGGGCCCATCAGGGGGTTGGGGAGCTCCCCCCTATCAGGCACAGAGCAGGGCTGATCAGGGGGTTGGGGCGCCTTCCCATCACGAACAGAGCAGGGTGGATAGGGAGGTTGTGGCCCCGCCCCCTGTCACACACAGAGCCACAGGGCGATCAGGGGCTTTGAGCGCTGCCCCCTGTCACGCTGATCCCTTCAGGGTGGAGGTCCCCACTGGGGTGCCTGGCCAGTCTGGGTGAGGGGCTGAGGGCTGTTTTCAGGCTGGCAGGTGACTGAAGCTCCCAACTGCTCCTTTTTTTCTTTTTTTTAATTCTGGGCCAGCTTTAGCTCTGAGGCTCCAGCTCTTTGAAACAATGTTGTGATCCTGCTGGCTGAAGCCCAGCAGACTAAAGCAGGTTTCAGGGGTTTTGTTTAGCTTCTATATTTGTAACATAGTTTCTTAGAGTTGCAGCTCAGAGGCCTGCAGTGGCAGGCGGGGAACATTGGAGTCCTCTGTCACTGAAGCAAGCAAGCCTCATATTCGCTTTAAGCTACCTGGCTGCCGGCCGCCATCTTGGCTGGCAGTTAATTTGCATATCGCCCTGATTAGCCAATGGGAAGGGTAGCGCCGTACACTAATTACCATGTTTCTCTTTTATTAGCTAGGATGATACTTTTTTCAACCTTTACATTCACTGAAGTATATATCAATTTAGAAAAAATGACTAATTTTTAAAAATATATATTTTATTGATTTTTTAGAGAGGAAGGGAGAGGGATAGAGAGAGTTAGAAACATCGATGAGAGAGAAACGTTGATCAGCTGTCTCCTGCACAACCCCTACTGGGAATGTGCCCACAACCAACGTGCATGCCCTTGACCAGAATCGAACCTGGGACCCTTCAGTCTGCATGCTGACGTTCTATCCACTGAGCCAAACCGATTAGGGCTTAATTTTTAATAAATTATCTCAATGGCCTCAACTAAGCAAGCTGACTAGACAGTATGGGTTTCATGTAAGGCCACTGTTGTTTGGCATCCAATCCCCCCTTTTTAGATTACTCTAATTTTCCTTTGAAAACTATCCAGGGGTGAGAATATAACTTGGTCCTGGTGATCTGATTTAAAAATGACTGAAATCAAAGATGAGCAAGAGTTAAGCCAAGCTAAAGACAGCCAGCCTTGTGACTAGCAACAATGTGCTCTGTCCTTTGGGGCTACTGATTTGGTTGAATGCAAACCTTGAGCTATCATGTAGAATGTTCGCCTGTGAATGAATTTAACTGTGAAGAAATCAAGAGACAGGGATGAGAAAAACAGATTTTTGGAGTCATGCAAATACCTAGATGCAACAGTACTGAAGCTTTAAGGTTACATAAAGTTTTCTAAAAAAAATCCCCTTGTCATTTCCAATTAAGTCATGACTAATACAATTTACTGGATAATCTCTAAATTATTCACAACTACAAATCCCATGAGTATAAGTTTTAAAAAGATTCTGGAAGTAAAAGCATCTATTGTTAACTAAAATATCTATACTTAAAGTGTTTAAAGATATAATCATGTGGATGAAAAAGAGGAGTCCTATGGAAAGTAATCTCACAGGATGATCAGATCATAAACTGCTAACTGGGAAGTCATGGTGGGTAGTCATGTCCAGACATGTAACATTTTAGTAAAAGGTTTATCTTTGCCTTAAGCAATCCCTGTCCATTGTTTCTGTGCATCTACATTAACACACCTTTGAAATATGCACCCTTTAGCATTTAGTATTCTAAAATTGTGAGTAGCATACAAATTACCTTTATAAAGCTAGAGGAAAAAAAACCTAATCTCTATGTATAAAAGCCTAAGCGACTGAACGACTGAACGACCAGTCGATAGGTCGCTATGACGCGCACTGACCACCAGGGGACAGACGCTCAACGTAGGAGCTTCCCCCTGATGGTCAGTGTGCTCCCACAGCCAACCTCCTGCAGTCCCTCTGGCCAGCGGGTCCCGATTGGGGCCGGCTGGCCAACCTCCCGTGGTCTCTTCTCCTGGCCAGCTAACCTCCTGCAGTCCCTCCCTCCTTCCCTCCCAACCTCCCACAGCCCCAATCAGCCCTGATCGCCTGCCAGGCCAAGGGACCCCACCTGTGAATGAATTTGTACACCGGACCTCCAGTTTAATTATATAGTTATGCCTTTTAAATTGTATCTGCCTGGCATATTATCTAACAAATTATAGTCAGTATTTGATAAATGTTTGATGAATAAACTATAGTAGACAGGTTGAATTGAGTGGGCACAGTACATAATAACAAAGATCTTAAAATGTAGTATAATGTAGATCAAGCTTGTCAAACTCAGGGCCCGCAGGCTGCATGCAGCCCACAATGAATATTTTTGCGGCCCAGCCAATATAACGGTATATAAGGACCATTTTAATAAAAATTTCCTAACTTAATTTTTACAATATCCTGTTATACATAATTATTAATAAACTAGAACGTTTGCTAATGACTGATTACTATCATCGTGTTGCATTTATTTCCCTTACGCACCTTATGTGCAGGCGCACCATTTCTCTCCACTAATACTAGTAGCAAATATTTTAGCAGCCAATTGCCACATCATTAGTCTTGGACTGACTTGTTTGTTGTGCGCAACAAGAAATATTTCGCTTTCAGAGAACAAGAAAAATAGGTTTATTTGCATTACACTTATTAATTTGTGCAGTTATTCGATGTCTGGTAAGTTAATGTTCAAGAAAAAAATATTAATTTTTATTAAGATGTTCTATTATTTTATGTTAACGATTACTCATTTATCTCAGCCCTTTGTATTCTGCATGTCTCTATCGAAATAAACCTATGCTTCTATGAAAATTGAAGCTTTTGGTTTTTTTGCGGCCCACATCAACGTAAACCTTGTTTATTTGGCCCGTGTTAGCCTTTGAGTTTCACATACTTGATGTCGATCTTAAAATGTAGAAGAATTGAAAAGTTAAAAAGGTTCCTTTCATGTCTCAGGATGAAATAATCCTTTTCCATAAAAGTAAACATCCTGTCTCTTAATGACTTTCTTTTCCTTCTATATAAGTTATTAAGCCGCTGGTGATTTAATCAAAGCCATCTTTTCCCCTCTCAATTGCCCCCTCCTTATTTGATGCTCACTTGAGACTCCCAGCCATTACCCTAGTCCAGAGTCTTCCCTGACACTGTCCAAGACTAAGTTTATCATCTTCTCCAACATTATAAACTCTGCGTCAGCTTCAAAATCTCAGGAATCCTCTAGTATTCTAATGCTAAAATGCTCATAACCATTTCAACACCAAACAGTGCTAGATTATCTCTATAATGCTCACTGCTACCATCCCAGACCACACGTACTGCCACAGTTCCACTCTTTCAAGTCCTACAAATTTCATCAAGGCGAGGAGTACAAAACTTGGTATTACTTAAATTCACATGTTCTTCCTGTGTGGTCATTCTAGTGAACTTAGCCATGTGTTTATATTTTTTCCTTATTACTAAGGTAAATGATTTCACACGGTCAACAAAGCCTGTCAACAGATAAGGGTTCCTACAATGCTAGGATTGCAAACCCAGGGTAACAAATTCAACTAGCAGTTTCAGTTATCACCCTTCCTCTAATCCCGCAGAACTTGAAACGGGGAAAGAGAG